CTTTTACCCTCATGCGTCTCCCTGGCAGCTTGTGGGGCTCCGTCTCCTTCCTCGCGCTCGTCCCCTTCCCGCTCCCGCCTCCGACGTGGTAGGATTCTGGGGTTGTTTCTTATCAGCCACGCCGCCGCACGGGCTTTGACTGAGTATGCATTGTGCGTCACCCGTTATGGACTCGTTGTGTGAGGCCTCATTATATAAGTGGTCGTTTCGACCATGTGGCGATTGATGCACACACGGCGCCGCGGTCCGTTCTCGTTTCCTCCTCCTCGTTTCCCGCCTCTCCGCCGGGGTCCCAAGCCCGGGGCCATTTCAAGTTTTTGCTTCCGTCCTTGCCGGGGAACTGTAACGATGTCGTATTCAGCAGGCTCTGTCAGAACGCTTTGGAGTAGAGGACTGGTACCATAGTGTACATAAGGCGTTCGGCTGTCGCCGAAAGTCTGGGTGGCTCCTCGCCCCCGGGTCGCGTTTAAGGGGCCCTCAGCTGCTGTGTCTTCATCGGAAAAAAATGTATTGGCAGTTCCAGTCGCAGAAAGGAACAAGCAGCTGGGTTCAGTGGCATATTGACTTCCGGCTCTACTCGCTCCGATGCGGTCGACCTGTGAGAGCATGTGTGGCGTTGGAAGGTCGACCTTGAGGGCAACTTGAGCATAACCGACGACTGCTTCTGTTCTGCTGTGAAAGTGCTGGTCTGCTTGGGCTCGAACCCTGAAACTCCGACGCAATCGTCGCAGTACAACTTCCGGTCCCACTCCAAATTGCGCTTATCTAGTGGACGCGCGCTTGGCACTTGCCGCATGCATTTCCCGCACATCGGGAATCCGCTCAATGCAGGTTCCTCACCTTCACTTGGGAGCGCGAGAACCGACAGGGAACACTGCGAGAGGGTCGTGTCAAAAACGCTGCTCAGGCTATGCAATAATGGCATGCTCGATGCTCCAGATATACGGTGTTGCGTTGTGGCCGGCAAGTTTCATCTATCTGGCTTGATCAGTAGTGGTGCGCCAGTGCTTGACAGCGGCCGCAACGACCATCTGACCGTAGCCGACATGCTTCCGATCCTGTGCGCCGTGGCCGACCACTGCGCCTTGGTCTTCGATGCTGCCGATCCTTTGTCGGGGGTTCTCAGCGGCACCGCTTCGGGAGACATGTCCCGCAGGTCACCGGCACAGGGAGACGGGCGCATAGAGGATTGTGCAGGCTCGCGCCACATCCACTGACCGCTTGAATTCTGTTGTCTCTGGATCTGGTTTGTGTGGGCTGGTTGGTCATTGGCTCGCCTTGGACACTATCTCGACTGTTTTCGGCTGGCTGTCTTGGGGCTGTTTCGGAGCCCTCTTGGGTGCCGCTGTGTTCAATGTGGTGCAGGATTGGAAGTCTGCCGGATTGAATGAGGTTGTCGGAAGCCAGAGCTGGCGAGAACATTACTATCATCGACAAATGCAATGAACAGCAGTGACTGTGGGCTTCCAAGCAACTGGGAGAGTCTCAGGGGCGTATTGGGCAGTCTCGAGACTATCGTGGGCCGTCCTTGGTCGATCCTGGGCCGTCTTGGAGGCAACAGGGGGGCCAGTTTGGGCCTTTATCGGGTCATCCTGGCCGTTTTGGAGGCAATTCGGGGCGATATTCGAGACCATATTGGTCCATCTTGGCCGTTGCGGGAACCACAGAAGAGAACATGGTGGCTGGAGAGATGCACCGAGACTCCACCGGGCACTTGTTGGAAGGGTGCAAACGGTCCAACCTTGAGCAGGGGCCGGCTGATCCCGTGGCCTCAGGTTTACCCCGCCACCGTGTTTCTTCGATGCACATTCGGGCCTCTTTGGGCGAGAAATTTGGGCGGAGCGCCAAAAATTATGATTGTGGCGTTGTTTCTTCTGCTAGCTTGGCGTGTTTATGTTTATGGCGTGTTTATGTTTATGGCGTATTTATGCTTATGGCTTTTTGGGCGGGATGGGGAGGCCGGAGTTCCGAGGGTTTGAGGGCTCCACGCTGAGTGAGTGGAGGCAGAGGGCTTTCCACATTGAGCTAGTGAAGGCAGAGGGTTTGAGCAGCCAGCCCCGTCCTGAGATTCGCTCCTCTTCTCCCTCTCTGAAGAGGGCTCGAGAGAGCAAGTATGGCAAATCCACCGAGCTTCTGGATGCCCCCTGCGATGCAAAGCCTGGCCCTCGCATGCCCCTCCTCCTCCTCCTCCAGCAACTTCCTCCCCAACCTCCTCTCCTCCTCCTCCTCCTCCTCGCGCCTCCTCCTCCTCCTCCTCCTCCTCCTTCTTCTCCTCCTCCTCCTCCTCCCCCTCCTCCTCTTCCTCCCCCAACTCCTCCTCCTACTCCTCCTTCTCCTCCTCCTCCTCCTCCTCCTCCTCCTCCTTCTCCTCAGGCGGAGGAGGAGGGAGGGGAGGAGGAGGAGGAGGAGGAGGAGGAGGAGGAGGCGGAGGAGGAGGAGGAGGAGGAGGAGGAGGCGGAGGAGGAGGAGGAGGAGGAGGAGGCAGAGGATCAGGAAGAGAACAGGAGAACGGCCTCCGAGCACCCGGCTCGGGGCCGCCCAGCGAGGCGCCGTCCCAGGGCCGGCTCGTTAAGGCTGCCCATCGAAGAAGAGAAATCGCCATGAACATAACCTCAAGTCGGGCCTGTCTCTCTACAGGAGGAATATTCAAGAAGGGTCTGTCTCTCGACAGGAGAAAGCGCCACGAACATGACCTTAAGTCGGACCTGTTTCTTTAGAGGAGGAATATTCCAAAAGGGCCTGTCTCTCTACATGAGAAAACGCCATGAACATGACCTTACGTCGGGCCTGTCTCTCTACAGGAGGATATTCCAAAAGGGTTTGTCTCTCTACAGGAGAAAACGCCACGAACATGACCTTAAATCGGGCCTGTCTCTCTACAGGAGGAATAAGCCAAAAGGGTCTGTTTCTCTACAGGAGAAGACGCCACGAACATGACTTTAAGGCGGGCCTGTTCTCTACAGGAGGAATATTCCAAAAGGGTCTGTCTCTCTACAGGAGAAGCGCCATGAACATGACCTCAAGTCGGGGCTGTCTCTCTGCAGGAGGAGTATTCAAGAAGGGTCAAAAGATAGCCTGGGGACCGTTTTTTGGCTCTCCTCGACCATTTCGGTCTATTTCTGGACTACTTATAGTTTTTCGCTCAAGATCCGCCTGTAGGGGGACGTGCCCGACCCAAATATCACCCGTTGGCGCTCTTCGCGGATCTCTTGGATCCGCGCTGGGGCCCCCTCGCGGCGGCGCTTCCTGCGCCGCCCCTATAGCGGCGCGCTGCGCGTGCCGGGGGGGGGGCCGGCGCGGAGCCGAGGAGTCCGCGCGGAGAGCGCCGGCGGGTTATTCTGGCCGGACGAAGGGGGGGAGGACTGGGAAAGGGGGGGTTGCGAAATTTGCTGCATGCAGCTGGTTTCGGCCCTACCGAGGGGCCCATTCCTCGATACATAGCCGCCTCCGGCGCCGGGAGGCGCCGGGAAAATCAGCTACGTGAGCGGATTCTCAACCCCCCCCTTTGCTATTATCCCCTTTCGCCCGACCCGAGTTATGTTTGTGGCGACTTTGCTCGGCCCTTGCGTCCTTGCTCTTCCTCGCGTTTGCGTCCGCGAGGTTTTCGTCGGCCGCCCCCCCAAAAGTCCCAACTCCGGCTTCCAAGGGTCTTGCGTCCTTGCCGCGCGTCCTGATTAGGGTTTTTGACCGTATGTTTGTGGCGTTTTCTCTTCTTCTAGCCCCGTGCAGAGTTCTCCGCGGCGGGTGCGGCGGCTGGGCGTGGCGCGCATCCGGCGGGCGAGAAGCCTTGGCAGTGGGTTGGACCTTCCATGGGGCTATAGCCGCCGCTATCAAGGGAGGAAAAACTGTCCGGACCCAACAGTCGGCGTTTACCGAACGGCCCTGGGCGTCTGCTAAGCAGCCCTGCCCTGCTCCACTCCTGCTGTGGGTGCGTTTGCTAAACGGCCTCGCGTGTCGGGGTGACCATTGCGAGAGTGGAATTCTCTGCCCTCCACACTGGTTCAACCAAAGCTTCCGCCCTGGGGGGGAGGCGTCTCTGAGCGGCCACGGGGCCTCCTGGAACGCGTGTCCGTGCTGTCTTCCCGTGCTGTCTTGATGCTCTCTTCTTACGTCGGGCCTGTCCCCCTACAGGGGGATTTTCGACGGAAAATGAAAAGTACCCCCAACATAGCAAAACAATAATCAAAAAAAGGGCTATACCCGTGCCTTGCCGCACGGGTATAGCCCCCTTGAGGGGAAGCGGATTTGCCCGTGGACATTTTTGGGGGAAGAAAAATAATCCAAAAATAGTCAGGGGATTTTTTAAAAAGTATTTTTGGACCTTCTTGGGGTATGTTTTGAGTATTTTTTATTTTTTGTCGAAAATCCCCCTGTAGGGGGACAGGTCCGACATAACTCTCTTCTCCATGCGCTGCGGGACCCCCGGATGTCTCCGGCCTTCCCCCCGGCAGGGTTCACCACGGCTCGCTCTCGGACGGTCCCGCGGCCCGGCGAGGGCCCCCAGAGGTGGAACGGTCAAACACCCCTTGCCGTGATCTGTTTCAGGGAGTGTTTTTTTTCTTCATTCTTCTGCCGATCGGCGCGGGCCCTCGCCCCCCCCCCTTCCTCCCCCTGGAGTACATCTTGGCTGTTTTTGGCGCCTGTTTCAAGCGGGTGGAGTCTCCCCCAGAGGCAGCATTCTTGCAAACAGTCGCACTAAGCAGAGGTCTGGAACTGGGCCCCCCCTTCCTCCCAATGTCGAAACGCTGAATAAAAAAACGCTCACTTAACGACGCGAGCATGTCTGGGAAGGCTTCTGCATGACGGGAGGTCTGCAAGAAGTCACCCGTTTAGGTGGTAAATCTCCGCTCGTCTTGAATTGAAGGTATATCGGCGAGAAGCGCCCAACAGCGCTCAGTAGCACCAAACAGCCCCCGAAGGCGCCCAGTAGAGCGTCGAATAGCGATCAAAGAGCGACCACTAGCGACCAGTGCGCCCACTAGCGCCACGTGGTGGTCCCCAGCCATTTTGGCTCAAGGCTCAAACCTCCTGTGGCACAAGACCACCGAATCGAGCCTGCCCTGGCGCCCTTGTTAGGCATGGCCGCGGAGGGGCTGTTAGAGCTGGAGGTTTCCATGCTGCAGGGCACCACTGTGCCGGTGACGATCCCACGCGAAGAGTACGCCAAGGTGCTGAAGGCGCAGCTGGCCCCGAAGCTTGTGGGCGGCCCAGCAGCTGCGCAGCTCCGCCTGTTCCTTGGGGGGCAGGAGCTGACTGACGATCAGTGCCTGGGGGAGCAGCTCGACAGCGGTGCGAACCTCGCCGTGGTTGTGGGCCCACCGGTTCCGGAGTGGGCTGAGGAGTTGGGCTTTACTTCAGATCATCCTCACTGGCTACGGGAGCACTTTGCCCGTTACGGCTTGGAGGGGCCAGAGTGGCTCACCGATGATGCAGCGATTTGGAAGAGACTGGCCGATGAGTACGCTGCGAAGGATGAGCAGATGGCAGGGTTCAAAGGTTGGGGGCACAGGCTGCATTTGGCAACACCAGCTCTGGATAGACGGCTGGGCCAGGTCCATGCAAAGCCTGGCGAGAAAGTCCAGCTGTCATTTTCCGGCCGCATCTGGAATAACAATAACGACAGCTGCATCCACCAGTGTGGCCTTGCCATGGGCCCTCTTTCTGAGGGCGCGGACCCGTTCCTGGGCGAGATCTACAATGGCGTGCCGCGAGGGGCTCGGGAGGTGCGGGCAGTGGTGTCAGTCGACGCTCCACAGGAACCGGGCGCCTACATGCTGTATCGTTTCGGAGACCTCCAGTATAGCTTCCGCAATGCCAAGAGAAACTTCTGCAACCGCAGGACAACGATGGTGAGCGATGACTATCCTGGTTCCTTCGTGGGTTGGCTCGTGGTCGCCTGAGCCCCCGGTCTCGCCGCAGCAGCCAGAGTTTTTAAGAGGACCCTCCCCGCTGAGCAGATCGAGCCGCCTCGGTTGGTCAGAGGGAACGGCCCCCCCCCTTGAAGTTTCTGGCTTGCGATCGCGACGTGGGAACAAACCAGTGGAGACGGCTCATGCATTCACGCAACAGAGGTTCAGATTCTGAACCGCCCTTTCTCGATTACGGCGCACGTGTGTGATATTGCCATGCCACGCAGCGCCAGAATGTAAGCGGGTCGGTTTTGCCATGTGCCGTCACAGACTACGTTGTGCCCCAACGTTCGGCATTTAAGGCTCCTCCTTCTTACGACTGATCCGCTGCTCATTGTTTTGGTAACTTGAGACTGGTCCTCGTTGACATTCTGCGACTTGGCGACGCTATTGATCAAAGACGCTGGCCTTGCAACCATAGTGCCACATGGGGGAGATGCATCACGGCTTGGGAGCTCTGGCTCGGGGTGTCGTGCCGCTGGCTCCGGCCGACCACGCCTCGGCGTTACGCGCTATCCGCGGCTCAGCCCCCGAGCGCCAATGTTCAGCATCGCTTCACCGATCCCCATCCCCATCCCCATCCAGACCCCCACCATCTCATCCCCCCAGTCGGGGATACACCCTTCGAGAGCTGACAGAACATGCCTGTGCCCCCTGTCTGCGGGGGGCGGACCGGCCAGTGGGGCCAAGGCCACGCGAGTGGGGACAGGGATCGGTGCAACGATGCTCCAATGCCCCGAGGCTTCCCGAGCCTCCCGCCCCGCGGGGTGGAGCGACTACAGTCGGGGCCCTGAAGAAGGAACCCTTTTCGTTGGGGAGGGGCTCCGTGTTCCTTGATTGCTTCACAGCTTGCCTCGGGTTTTTCTTTGGGTTTCGATGGGAAATCGAAGTTCGACTTATGGAAAAAGGGGCCTCGTTCCTTATTTAGGGTTCCTTAGGGCAACGCCCCGACTGTATCTATCCACTTGCATGGCACAGCGGGTCGCCGGGGCCGCCGCTGCGACGCGCCGCGTCGAAGGGTGCACGACCGCCTGCCCGTTGGGCGCGCGACGGGGCGAGCGGTGGGGCGCCAGGGGGGTTCCCTCCTCCTCCTCCTCCTCCTCCTCCACCTCCGCTCTCTGGGCGTCCAGAAGCTTCCGTGAGCTGCTTGCTGTCGCAGGCGAATCTCTCGCCCCCGAGCCCTCACTCTTCCACGAAAAGTCAGGCCGCTTCGAAAAGGAGGGGGATTCGGGGATACACCCCGGGGGGGGGGGGGGGGGGGGGGCTGGTCGGGCGCACCCCCGATCGAGGCTGGACGCCCCCGTGTCCTAGATCCCCGAGTTCTGCCACAAAGGTCTTGTCTGTTCCAAGACCCCCACGGAGCCTGGGACAGGGGTCGACATATCCCTTGTTACCCCTGCCTCCCCTTGTTAACCGACCACGCCTGAGAGTAACACCCAATAATACAGTGCGGGGTCCAGGGGGGACAAGAAACGATTTGTTCCAGCGAGTCGACGACGACGAGGATGTGTTCCTCCTGTTCTGGGATCCTTTGCTCGTGCTCTTGAGATCCTTGGCCCGTAATTTTGATGTTGCTAACCAACATGAGAAGATAACAACCTCGATTCGCAACTTTCCCCGCGATGCTGAATTCGGCCTTGCCACCCCTCTTCCCCGACCAACTCTGCATTGGCCGGGGATAATCAACTCTCAGCTGGGAAGGGGGGGAGGGATGATTTATTCAGGCGATCGCAAACATGGATCAAGGGGGCGTGGATTAGCGGCGGGTCCCGTCTCCATGGGGAATCTCGGATTTCCGCCGCCGAGCGAGGGGGCACCGGCCGCATTTTGGGGAGGGCACTTCCCCCGATCCACGGATTTGGCGACCGCGCACCAGATCAATGGATCGCTAATCCATGTTTGTGCACCCCCGGATCACTACAGTCGGGGCGCTGAAGAAGGAAACCTTTTCGTTGTGGAGGGGCTGAGTGTCTCTTGATTTTTTTACAGTTTGTCTCAGGTTTCCTTAGGACTTCGATGGGAAGTCTAAGTTTAACTTATGGAGCATTGGGGCCTCGTTCCTGATTGATCGTTCCTTAGGGCAACGCCCCGACTGTATCTATCCACTTGCATGGCACAGCGGGTCGCCGGGGCCGCCGCTGCGACGCGCCGCGTCGAAGGGTGCACGACCGCCTGCCCGTTGGGCGCGCGACTGGGCGAGCGGTGGGGCGCCAGGGGGGTTCCCTCCTCCTCCTCCTCCTCCTCCTCCTCCTCCTCCTCCTCCTCCTCCTCCTCCCCCGATTTACTACCCGGGGCTTGCGGTTGTTCTGACCCCCATGCCTTCCGAGAGGGCGCCCCCCTCCGGCTCGCCGCCCGCCCGGCCCCGCCGCCCGCGAGCCCCGCTCCCGCCCCCCCCGCGCCGCTGCAGCAGGTCGACTGGAAGTCGACGCCGAAGCGCCTCGTGAGGCTGATCGACTCCTGCTGGGCACAGAAGGCCAAGGATCCCCGAGGGCCTCAGTGGGCCCTGGAAACGACGGGGCCGTTTTTTTTACCGGTTCCGTTTTGCCGTTTTTTGACCGGTTCGGGCTCCGGTTCCAATCCTGGAGCCGTTTTTTGCCGTTTTCGGTCGCCGTTTTTTTTGTTGTTTCCATTTTCAAGGGACATTTTTTTGGAAACGGTGAAAAAACGGCCCTGCCGTTTCCGGGGCCCACAAAGCTGAGGGCTTGTCGATTTTTCGCCAACCGACTCGTGGGGATCGAGCCAGCCAAATCCATGTAAACATGCAGATGCATCGAGGTACATCCAGGTAAATCGAGGTGACTCCGGGTAGATCCAGAGATCTCCTAGGAAAGTTGGAGCAACCCGCGGCCGTTCCAGCGCGAGTCGAAGGACGGCAGAAGTCGTCAGGCCTTTAACGAAAGAACGCGCCGGTGCTCTCCCCAGCCGTGCTCGCGTCGTGGAGGAATCGCGCCGGGTTTTTGTTTGGTCCAGGATTGGGACCTCGCCGGGCCCCAGGATTGTACGAGTCAGGATGAAAAGCCGGTCCTAGGGCATGGGTCGAGATCTTTGGGGTTCGACGTCGTGAACAAAACGTGACGTCGGGGGTCGGAGTCTGGTGCCTCTTCGCATGGCCACGGGTCTTGTTTGTTCCGACATAGGGGTCCCCTGAGGTCTCGACCCTTTCCCCACGGGCCAGGGATTTACCGAGTTGCTGTTGGACGGTCCTGGGGCCCGGCGAGGGCCCCCAGAGGCCCAGAAAGTCATCACCCACCAAACCACCCCAGCCCAACCCGAAGGCCTCAAATTGACCTCCATTTCCAGTGGGGGGGGGGGGGTCGGGGAACATCGAGAAAACACATATGGAACCCGTACCCCCCCCCACCCGAAATTCGGGTCTTCGGGTTGGGTTGGGGTGGTCTGGTAGTCAGTCGGAAAGGCCAACAACCAAAGCTGCCCCTCGTGACGATCCACAGCGCGAGGCACGTCGGGGACCGCCCCCCGCGCTGCGACTACCTGCGGCGGCGAGGCTGCGCGGGATTGCTGCACTCATGGTTCAGCCGGGCGCGTCCCTCCACAGGGGGAATCCTTGAAGATATTTGGTCCGCCTGACGAAGGACCCAACCATATGCAGGTCCCTCTACAGGGGGAGTCCTTTAAGATATTTGGTCCGCCTGACGCAGGACCCAACCATATTCACCACCCACCAAACCACCCCAACCCAACCCGAAGGCTCAGATTTACCCTCGATTTCCAGTGGGGGGGTCGGAAAACATTGGAAAAAACCCATATGCAGCTGCGAGGGCCGCATTGTGGGTACCGCTTTCGGTGGAGCTCCCGGTGGGGCCACGAACCGCGTGAGGGGTGTGGCAAAATGGGTCGCAGTCCCTGCATGCGGCCTGTGCCGCTGGGGCCTTCGATGGAGCTCCCTGCGGGGCCACGATCCGTGTGAGGGGTGTGCCAAAATGGGTGGCGGTCCCCGCGTGCGGCCTGTGCCACTGGGGCCTTCGGTGGAGCTCCCTGTGGGGCCACGAGCCGTGTGAGGGGTGTGCCAAGATGGGTGGCGGTCCACGCATGCGGCCTGTGCCACTAGGGCCTTCGGTGGAGCTCCCTGTGGGGCCACGAATCGTGTGAGGGGCGTGCCAAATGGGTGGCGGTCCCTGCAAGCGGCCTGTGCCGCTGGGGTCTTCGGTGTAGCTCCTGTTGGGACCACGAACCGTGTGAGGGGTGTGCCACAATGGGTGGGTGTCCCCGCGTGCGGCCTGTGCCACTGGGGCCTTCGGTGGAGCTCCCTGTGGGGCCACGAGCCGTGTGAGGGGTGTGCCAAGATGGGTGGCGGTCCCCGCATGCGGCCTGTGCCACTGGGGCCTTCGGTGGAGCTCCATGTGGGGCCACAAGCCGTGTGAGGGGTGTGCCAAGATGGGTGGCGGTCCCCGCATGCGGCCTGTGCCACTGGGGCCTTCGGTGGAGCTCCATGTGTGGCCACGTGTGAAAGGTGTGCCACAATTGGTGGCGGTCCTCTCATGCGGCTTGTGCCACTGGGACCTTCGGTGGAGCTCCATGTGGGGCCACGAACCGTGTGAGGGGTGTGCCAAAATGGGTGCGGTCCCCGCATGCGGCCTGTGCCGCTGGGGCCTTCGGTGGAGCTCCCTGTGGGGCCACGAGCCGTGTGAGAGGTGTGCCAACATGGGTGGGATGTTGTTGATGGTGACGATGAGGAGGAGAGGGAGGGGACAGCGGGAGAAGAAGGAGGTGCCGCGGGGCGCTGTCTCTTCAAAACGAGGACCCAACACCACAGGATGGTTGGGAACAAAATTGTTTGGGGACGATTTCCCGATTATTTGTTCAAACGATTTTCATTATTTCCTGATTGTTTGTCCTCCATCATTCGCCTGTGGGGGGCACGCCCGACCTGAGCGCAAGGGTCCCGCAATGACCCGCAGGTTACCGGGCCCGCCCCCCCTTTCCCCCCGAGGAGGAATAGGAGGAGGAAGAGGAGGAGGAGGAGGAGGAGGAGGAGGAGGGGGAGGAGGAGTAGGAGGAGGAGGAGGAGGAGGAGGAGGAGGGGGGGGAGGAGGAGGAGGAGGACGGGTAACCTCACTGCTTGGTCGGCTGCACAGATCCGAACGGGGGGCCGGTGCCGGTTCGCGCGTGCCTGCGCGGGGCTGCCCAGGGCAAGCGAAAAAAGGTCGGGCCATCGGCCAGCGCCTCCCCACCCACGCGGCGAATTGAGGACAGCACAAGCCACCCTCACTCCCAGCCGGGACCCCCGCTGGGAATCCCACGCAAACATATTTTCAACGACCGACGAGTATAAATACATGTATATATATACACATCTCGAGAGATGTAATTATTACGTAGGAATATGCAATCTATATGGATATGGATCTATACACTAATGCGCTCTGGCGTTGGAGCCCTTCGCCCACCAATCCCTGGATGCGCGCCATGGACGGAGCGCCCACTCCCAGCAGGGACCCTCCCACTGGTCGACCTGGTGATCCAGGGGGACCTTGGCTAGGGGCGGGGGGGCCGCTCCCCAGGAGCCCCAGAAAGCCATTCTCCACCCTCGACCATGAGGAGGAGGAGGAGGAGGCGGAGAAGGAGGAGGAGGAGGAGGAGGAGCAGGAGGAGGAGGAGGAGGAGGAGAAGGAGGAGAAGGAGGAGGAGGAGGAGGCGGAGGCGGATGAGCAGGAGGAGGAGGAGGAGGAGGAGGTGGAGGAGGAGGAGGAGGAGGAGGAGGAGGAGGAGACCAGGTCGGGAGGGGGTGACCTGGCTGGGGGTGGGGACGGGGGTGGGTTGTGCTGTCCTCAGCGCGAGCCCTGGCCAGGGCCCGCGGCATCGCTCGGCGGCGAGCCCCGGGGAAGTGAGCATGGGCGGGAGGTCGGGGCCATTGCTCTTTCAAAGCGAGTCCACCCCGCGCGTGGCTGCTCGAGGAGAGTGCTCCCCCAAACAACGGATCCCTGATGCCTGGTGATCGTTGTTTTACTCATTGTTTTGCTGATCGGCGCGTGCCCTCGCCCCCCCCCTGCTGATTGTCGCGTGCCCTCGCCCCCCCCCCCCTTGTTTTTGGCGCCTCCCCCAATTGGACGCACTGTCGCAAGGTCTGGACCTAGACCCCCCCCCTTCCGCCGAATGTCGAGACGCCGAATGAGGAAACGTTTGCCAGACGGTGTCGGGGCACCCTTGCCTTTCCTTTCGTAGAAGCCTCGTGCGCTGGCTGGCGGTG